CTGTAAGAACTATGAAAGGGCAATCAGTACAACTATGCAGATGCCCTTTGGTGAAAGCCCATTAAGGGCCAGTCAGGACTCAATGATGAAGATCAGCTGCAATATATGAAATCTGATGTATTATTTAAATACTTCAAAAAATATTCATGCTTTTTGATTGATTGTTCTAGACTAGATGAGAAATGCAATTATGTTAGAGGATTTGACACTAGTAACTTTATTACCAGACTTGCTTATAAGCTCTTAAGGTTCAGGCTTGGATATATCTTCAACTTTAGTACAATGAAATTAGCTAAGCTTAGCAATTTAATTTTAGCCGTAAAAATAGGTTCTTGTTTTTAGGCTATCTGTTGCCCTTTACAATTTTCTCCTATTTGGACCATGATCTATCTAAAATTTAATGTAAGCAAGGATAAACATTGGTGAATTGTTTTATTTGTATACAAGGAATATGAAGCTTTGTGTAATAAACATTTACTTTATGAATGAAAAAACAATTCTAAATTGAAAGCTTAGGCAAGACAATAAGATATATATCCAAGCATGTGCAGTTTGGCTCATTATCTCAATAAAGCTATTTAATAATTTTGTTGCGTTAAGCTTATGTATAACTCTATCAGGATACTACTCAAACACATCCAATACAGGTCTCCTCAAGGGTACATGCCAAACTTACAGCACCCTATCTTTGGGGTTGATAAAATATCAACCAGGTTCCATTCATGCATCCAAGTGAAACATGGTGGGTTTCTCCTCTAGAGAACTGGTGGAAATTTATTGGTACCCAATACTACAAGAAGAGGACATTATTCACAATTCCATTTCTAAAAAGTCTTACTGTCCCACCAATAACAGCATTTTATATGTGTGTATAGTTTCTGCTGATGAGCATTATAAACTCAAAGACGTACTAAAATGAAGACCATGGAAGCAGTCCTCCAGACACCATGGCTATGATTTGATGCTGGATTTGGCATGTTCAGCCATCACCATTTCATGATAGCTGTTTTACTAAAAATACAGTTGTCTGTAGGTGGGTACTTTAGCTCAAAAACTGGCCATTGTTTGTTAACAACAAATGATAGATGCTCTCCCTATTGTGGAGGTGGTTAGTCACTATGGGCTAAACTTATATGATTCAGATATACTATGAACTCTGAAGAGGAGTGAATGAGATCAAGGGAGTTGGTAAAAAATGGACAAAAGTGATATGTAAACCATAAAGAACATATGATAGTTTAACTAGAAGATCTCAAGTCAAACATTTCCAAGTAGTTTATTCTAAGCAAACAACCAAACAAGCCAAATAAGTATTTGCAGAGACATAATCTAATAATTTCAAGCAGGGTATGGAATTCTAGGTTAATGTAACTTGAACCTTCATAAGTTCAATTTGGACTCATTTGTGACACCCTACATTCTTAAGTATTCATTCAAGTAAAAGAGAATCTAAACCCTTGCAGATCATGTAAGATGATGTAAATTATTTTATCAATCGTCCTTTAACATTTATAATACTTAATTAACACTTTACATGTCTAACTCTAGAAGAACTGCAACCGCAGGAATTATGGAAAAATAAGAACAACAAGGCTAAATCAGTAATATAAGCTAACTGAGAAATCTAACCATGCAAATGGTCTTCTAATGATCCCAAAGGCATAAATTCATAGACGAGCAATCGTTGATCACCATCAGCACAATAACCAATCAGATTGACAAGATTAGGATGATGCAAGAGGCTAAGCATGAGGACTTCAACCAGAAACTCCCTGTTCCCCTGAAGACCATTTCTGTCAAGTTGTTTAACAGCAACAACCTGCATTGGTTTACATCAGCTGCATGCTAAATGCCAGATACCATATTTCACATAACAGATGCACATGTTTCCTAAGCAGAAATCTTAGATTGTAATAATATCTCTAAGCTTACAATACAAGGTATTTTTGTGTTCCCGATCAATTTAATTAAAGCAATCAAGACATTTATAGGTAAACTAGTCACATGAAGTACTAAAACAGAAACTAACCTGTCCATTCTCCAACCTTCCTTTATATACACGACCAAAACCACCTTCACCCAAAAGGCATTCTTGTCTAAAGTTCTTCGTGGCAGCAGCAAGCTCACGGAAAGTGAATGTCTGAGCTGCAATATGACCGGCATTGCTTTCCTTCGGAGTTGATGCTTCCTTCTTGGAGTCTGAACCAGTCCTCGACCTCAATTTGTCTAATGCCACAACCAATCCACAACAGTAAACAAGAAACTCGATATTTTGACAGCAAAACATGACTTAGTATATGATATTTGCTTTCGTAGCATAAGTTGCATAAGCCGAGAGACAAATTAATATTATTGAATTCCGCAATTCTGCGTATATTTTGTTAAAAACCATAAATGCACCTTCTTTTCAACATAATTTTAGGCATGATCAAATAATTGCATGAGCTCCCATTCACCTTCCTATACCCTGATCATTTCATGACAAAAGCATCACCCTAATGTTTTTGGGAGAACAAGACATCTTTCTCCTCAGTAAGGAGAGATCAATGCATATGGCAAGAAAATTAGCCGCAAAAAGAGGAGTCTGATCTCCAAAATCTGATGGAACATCGAACAAGAGCACAACAAATAGCTTCAATTTTTTCTTTTTTCTTTTCTTACTTACTCTTCATGCAATGATCATGAAATCAATTGGCATTATTTAGAAAAGAAACGTTGAATGTCCTAAAGCGAGGCCACGAACAATAGCTCCACAGATCGATAAGAAAAGAAAAACGATCAGCACTAAACAAACAAATACTCCTAAAACGCAGCAGAGAGGGACCATCAGATCTACGAGATTCACGTAAAAAACAATTTTCCCTATGAAAAATTCCGACTTTCTCACCGGAACCGCCATGGTGCGACAACGAGGCACCCTTGAAACCCCCACCACCTTTCCCCTCATTCCTCTTCTTCACCTCCTCCTCCTCCTCCTCCCTCTGACTGGCCGATCCGAAGCAGGGAAAACAGCCCATCATAAATTAGAAGAACCAAGAAAACCCCCCCCCCCCCAAAAGCCACCCACTTCAGCTCCAGCGACAGCTCCTCCTCGATCCTCCGATCGATCCCGACGGGCCTACATGAAATCTCGCCGCCTGCGGAGCAGATCAGAGCCTAAATCCGCAGAGGGAATGAGATTTAGGGAAGAGGGGCGGACCAAAATGCACAACCTCCGTCAAAATCGAATGAGAGAGAAAGAGAGCTGAAGTCAGCAGCGTGTGATGTAAGAAGAAGGAAGCGAGTCACCAAATGTAGCGAGTGTTGTGGGTAAATTCCATATTAATAAAAAGGGACTTAGTTTGTCCCCCACAAATTTACCCTATGTGAACCCCACGGGAATCCTCCGCTCACAAAGCAAGTAGGGATGGGGGTAACATTCTAACGGGTAGAATTAAAATTGTTCTTTATTGTATAATTATATTGTTCATTAATAAAAATACTTCATTTATATACCCCTTTACATCCATTAATTATCTCAATATTTCACATGCCAACTAATTAATCAATGATATCTTAATTTCTTGCAAAAATGTAATTCTCAAAGGGGTAGAAAACAGTTGCTTTTTATTGTTAATTAATTATTTGAGTAGAAAACAATGGTTTATTATTGTGGGAATAATTTTATTTTACTAATAAAAAGAGTTAATTTTGTGTGTATATATGTATCCATCCCTTTCCATCTATCAAATGGTAAATAATGGGTAATTCAATAACGAGCAGAAAATAATTGTTCCTCACTGTTGAATTAATTATATTTGTTTTACTTTATAGGTAGAGTGTCACATTTACTATATTTTTTAGGACAGATTGGACTTCACACTAATAAAATGAAAATCCCAATTGATCTCAGTCTTCTTCAATCTTATACCAATCAGGCATTTCTTTCCCATTGATTCTTCTCACATTTTGTGTTGACTATGTTTTCTTCTTCTTCTTCTTCTTCTTCTTCTTCTTCTTCTTCTTCTTTTAATTTTTCTTTTAATTGGTAGGTTTGACTTTAGCAATTATTTACACCAATGGCAAATTTTGTGGTGTGTGCACCACTTGGTCAACATGGGCTTAGTCCATGTTGTTATTACTTAAATAAAACTTCAATCGAACTTTGATACAAGAAATGATATGGAAAATTTGATTTAAGAATTAAGACCTACAAGTTTAATAATCGAAACTTTTGATCCATCTTCAATCTATTTTATTTTTTTTACTATTTTACTACTCGAGTATTAAAAAAAAATTACTAAGTTTTTTTTACGATCCATCGTGCACCTATGAGGATCAATATCGATCGATTAAAATCGATAAACGAATCAATATTGATTCATATTTAGTTCCTTTCTTTCTAATTTGATATTAATTCAATTTTTTTTTATATTTCTTTCGAATATGCACACACACACACAACAAATTCATTTAGGTAATTTTAATCTCTAAACCCTAATTTTCAAGTAGCATAGTAAAAGAGTAGGAAAGGTGGACTATACCACCTTCCATGAACCATACTTCAAAAATTGAAGGTTTGATAGGGAGAATAGCCCTCTCTTGAGATGGAAGCAAGAAAGATCTAAGCTGTGACTGCAGAAATAAGCTCATACTATGTATAGAATTGACAATTTACTGGTTGAAAGAGTGCTCTAAGTTAGATATTCAATTATTTTGTTACTAAGAATGTTGCAGTAATACTTGTTACAAATCTTTCACAGGTCTCCACAATTCGAATGCATAGATGAGTAGCTCAGAAACATGGGTAGTTACATCAATAAGTAGAACGCAAATAAAAAATATTGTCAAAATATTTTTTATTATGGCGTAAGACAGACACCTCCAAATCGACACCACATCAAGTGATCAAGGTTATAGACAAGATCAAAGTTCGAGCTCAAACCAAATTAGACTGCTCAACAAACTCTTAAGGCGACCCACCGAAATCGAACGATAACAAGCGATAAATCTCTTAACCATGATAAACTAATATGTTGAGCTAAACCAAATTAAACAGAAAATAATTGAACCCCTAATATGGAGATATCACATCTATCTCTTGCAAAATCACAAGCGTCACTGATTGGCAAAAATCAAGTTGTTTTCCCGGGAGCCGGTAATTTGAGTGTACAAAGGTTGCAACTTTTATTTCTAGACTACGCTGTACAATACTTGGAAGTCATGGAAGTGTTCTTATTATACGAATCTGATCTCCCATGACAAAAGTTGAAAGTACCTAATAATCTATAGTGCAGATTGGAATATCATCTCCGCGAGTTCCTGCATCGAAAGTTAAAAGCAAAGGTCATGGTGAATTCAGATTACCAGAAAGCTTCATACAGGCATGGAAAACAGACTTGGGTTCGAGATAGATACCTGCTTTCCGGATGGAACAGAAGGTTCATCCCATTCCATGGCCTGCTTTTCAAGTGTCTCGAAGTCGGCTTTGCCAGCCTGATCAGAAGCATATAAAAAAAATGAAATGCATAGCATTAAAATTGTTGGATAATCCCACATTCATGGTCAATTGGTTTTATTTGTACAAGAAATGGATGTATTGATGAACAGACCTCAATTAAAGACCCAATCTCTGTGTCAAAACTTTGGTAGCGCTTGCGGACAAGCTCTGCCAGGGAACCATCCTATCATAAAGAAAGGACCCTTATTAATATACTGGGAGTGGTCTCACATAAAATAAAATTCTCATATTACCTCGGTTAATTTTTGAACATTTCGGAGTCCACGGGCTAATGTGTCCATTCCAGAAATATGAGCAATGAACATGTCCTCAACATCAGTGCTCTCTCTCCGCCTAAAACCAAGGAAAAAAAACAAGCTTAGCACTTAGTTTAACTTGTAGCAGCAACATGCACTTGTTGCTTTTGTATACGGCTATCAGTCATCAAAACAATTTCAGGGATCTAGGATCAGTAAATGGACAATAAGGAGTAAGAGCACCAACAGTTTTGCATCAAAGTTAAATCCACCAGGTGCAAGTCCTCCCTATCAAAACAAATAAAACAATAGTGATAGATCCAAAATAACTTGGAAAAGTGTAGTATATCCTATTACCTAGAGAAAACTTCAACTATTAAGACAGACAAGTATTTTAGTTCGACTTACATTTCTCACAACACTTAACATAACTAAGGTTGCCTCTCCAATGTCTGTAAGGAACTGATCTGTGTCCCAACCTGTGCCAAAAATAGTTGAAGGTATCAGACACACGTCATTATATATTCTCCAGCAATGAGGAAAGACTTAAGAGATTTGTAGCTTCAAGTGCCTTTAAGGGATAGTTGCACATACCAATCTGAGGATCACCAGTATTTGCATCGATATTTCCAAGTAATCCATTTATCCTTGCAGTTTCAAGCTCATGATGACAGCTGCAGCCAAGAAAAAACCATTGATATTTTCAAGAAAAATAACAAATATCTTCATATGACAATCTTCCTATGTCAGCATTAGCCAAACCCACATCACAGACAGATCTTACCTATGACCAGACAAAGTAGCATGGTTACATTCAATATTCAGCTTGAACTCTCCTGCACCATAGAAATATCAGAATAATGTACTCAGAAACTTCTTTATTGAAAGGAACTATTAGAAACAAAGAGAAGTATGATTCAATTGAATCAACAATTACATGCTTAAGACTCCTAATGATCAAGATTCACATTACAAACTATGGCTCCATTTGCAAAGATTTTCAAAGTGCATTGTTGAGCAGAATGGAGAACCTAAACTTGTTATGGTAAGTCCAAGTGATAAAATGAAGAAAAAATAGTGATCTTAAAAACCTTCATAGAAATCAAGAGACTGAACTATCAAGAACTGAGTTGGCAAAGGATGCAAACCTCAACAGGAAAATATTGAAACTAGTTGCAACAATCATATTACAATATACTGATAAAGCCTGCCTAGAATGATAGACTGTAAATGAGCAACAGAGAAAACACATTGACATGTTCAAACATATATACAATATGGCAGTCAATCCAAAACTATTAGGCACTTATATCTGATAGTCGTTCTGTTATGTTCCTCTGCACAGGAGTGCATGTAAACATAATCATTCTGCTATGTCTATCTGCACAGGAATGCATATAAACAAAATGGTATATACCACAAGAGATGCATATAAAAGGCTTAGGGGGGCCATGATTTTGCAGTCATGATTTTGTCGTTTGCTTTTTTAAATGTCTTTAAAGATGGCCAACCATAAGAGTTTTGGTGGTCATGAAAAAACATAGAATTTTGCATACATGTACTTGTTGCAGATTCCAAAGTTCATGAATGTATAAACTCATTTCATAATGCCAGCAATCTGAATACTGGGTGAAATTCCCTTCTTTTCTGAATTAGTCGAATGAGCATAATCATAACAAACATATTTCCTTGTTTGGACCATAAAAAAACACCTTTTAGATTAGAATTGCTAAAAATTAACCAATTATCAACATGGAAAACAACATCAGGGACCAGATGAACCAGAAAGAACAAAGCTGAAAATGAGATAGTTATAAATGAGTTCATAAACTCTAGCATATATTATTTTTTTCATTTCTTTAGTGAGGTGAATTGACACTAAAAAATCTTAGCCCATAGGGATACATATTCAAACTCAGAATTATGAAATTTCATATAAATAAGTCTTGTTGGTTGATTTGAAATGAAGCCATGATAATTTGCAACCCATAATAGTGTTTCAGTATATCACTAGGAAAGCTGGTGAGCCACAAGCTAAGAAAAACTTGGGAACATAATGGGCAATTTCATGAACTCCAATTCAATGCTTGTAAACAAGTCAATAATTCTATAATTATGCTAAAAGTTTATCACAAAAAATAACTAAAGAAAAAAGCAGTCCTCATGGTAATTCTCATAAACAATACTTCGACACAATAAAATTATCTAAGAACTAGTGATTTTACTAAAACATATGGTCACTGAATTGTTTCGTAATGCTAAACTCTAGAGTCTTGCTATGACTAGTTTGATGGAATAAATTAAAATTAGAAGAAATAATGTATCCATTCAAGAAGTCATGGTACTCTGGCTTATGTAACCAACTTATGTGAATATGAGCAAGATGAGGACAGAAAAGTACCTATAAGGCCATACTTTTGAAGGAAAGCAAAGGCCGTTGCAGCATCCCAGTCATATCTGATATAACAAAAATCAATCAGATTAAGATAATGAACATATCATAGAGCATCACCCTTAATTGCAATACATACTGGTGCTTTGTCGGTTCTTGTGGTTTGGGCTCAATCAGCAGAGTTCCTGGAGTATGGAAGAAAAAATCATGAATAATACTATAATTCAAGATGTTAAAGGTACTATAGCAAGTGAATCAGTAATTGCAATAAGAAAACATAAATAAGCATGCCAAGAAGATAAGACTATTAGATATAGTAGTCAGATCAGATAAATTATAAAAGAAAATGATTTTTTTAACAATCAAACTTCATACAAAAATATGGAACATCAATTTCTGAGTGCTTTTAACTAGTAAGCTAATGACTTGAAAACCTAATTGTGCAATGAACTTATATTAGCCAATATGGATCAAGACATGGATACCATTGAACCCTATCTTCTTCTTGTAATCAACAGCAGCTTGAAGAAATCTTGCCTACAAAAAGTAAAACCTTGCTTTTAAATGCATAAGAATAATAATCTGGAAAACAATGTGTGCTTTTACAATTATGAATTGTTCAGGTATTCTATCATAATAAATAAAAGAAAATTGATAATAGAAAAAGATTAACTCTGAACAGGTTAGACTGGCCAATATAGTTACTAACTCATACCAAGTGATCAAGCTCTCTTTGCATATCAGTGTTAAGAAGTGACTGATACCCTTCACGTCCACCCCAAAAAACATAGTTCTCTCCTCCTAGGTAGTATGTTACCTACAAGAAAATGAAGCACAAATGTAGCGGATATTTGAAACTAAAGGCATTCAAATATTCAAAATTAACACCTCAATGGCCTTCTTGACTTGAGCAGCCGCATAAGCGTAAACTCCAACCTCTGAGCTGCAAGACAGAAGGATGGAAGTTGGTGAATATATACTTTGAAAGATAATACAGACTATTATTAAAAGAAGAATCACACAGTACCTAGTAGCTGCTCCATGCATGTAGCGAGGATGCAAGAAAAGTTGCGCTGTGCCCCACAAAGGTTTAATTTTAGTTCCCTCCTGTAAAACATATGAGATTCGTCGGGGGATAAAACTTAAATTACTATGGTTGATTCATAATAATAAGTGAACAATGAAAAGAGATCATAACAAATAGCAACATTATAGAGGCTCTACTCATGTTTGACAAGTGGTAATACAGTATTATTACCTGAAGTTCCTTGGCAAGAGCTACCACTTCATCCAAGTTTGCATTAGTTTCCTGACAATACAAAATTGTCAAACAACAGAGTTTAAGTTAAAAAAATGTTTTTCGCATGCTTAAGCAGTTAAACTTAATAAGTTCGAAATTAACTAGATCACTGAGCAAACCCTGGTAACTTTTTTATGGATGAACAGTGACAGAGTTTGCTAAAAAAAACTTTTCAAGCATGCCTCAGAAGCAACATAACTTGATTCTTGCAATTAGTTGAATCATTGTCTTGCATCAGCATATATAACTGATAAAGTCTGAATAAAGTTAACAATAAGAAACAACAATGATCATTGCTTACCGCAAGTGTTTTACCATCTGGAGCTATATCTCTATCGTGAAAACACCACCTATCAACTCCAAGTTTGTCCATGAATTCAAAGTGTGCTCTCACTGTGATTGGAGACATAACATGAGTGTCTTAACTTTAATTAACTACCTGATTGTATATTATCTTACTTTGTCCAACTAACTAGCTGACATAACATTATCTTACTTCGTCTTTTGGCCATGGCTACAGAATTTGTACCATCCTCCCATGGCCATGATTTTGTTGGGGCACCAAAAGGATCAGCACCAGTCCCACGAAAGGTGTGCCAAAAGGCAACACTAAATCGCAACCAATCCTACAATAACAATTAGAAAGCATTAGCATCAACAAATGACAGGACAACTGATCCTTAAATAAGTAAACCAACAAACAAACCTTCATTTTCTTTCCAAGTATCTCTTCCTCAGCATTATACCACTTATAAGAAAGTGGATTTTTGCTGGTTGGACCCTAATGTGAAAGGGGAAAATTGCAACAAAATTTGTATTAGTTGATCAATCAAATCAACAAGAAAACCATGTTCATATTGCAGCAGACCCAATGTTCGGACAAAGTCAATAAAAAAATACAATGTCGATAAGATATTACTTCATATTTGATTTTTGGAATGCCTGGGAAGAACTCGCCTTCCCAGCCATCTGAAGAACCACCATCACACTTGGCCTCGAGATTAGCTGGGCATGTATGTGGACCTTCTGCAATCTGCAAATAGAAATTATTCACACTTCCACCAAGACAGACATTTGAACATTTGGTAAAAGAAAAAGAAGGTATGGGGTTACTCACAACAGATGATAGGACCAAGGCCAAGGAGAACAGCAGCAGAGTCCGCTTTATCTCCATGGTGCACCAAAAGTGGAAAAGATGGTTCTGAAAATGAGAGAGTTAGAATGCATGAGAAACTGGTCGAGTTGCTATAACTCAAACAGAATATTTCAAATTCCATACAAAGAGGAGGATACAGCTTGTCCATAATTTTGTATAAAGATTTGGCTAATTTTTGAAGTTCTAAAATTACGTCTTTGATAAAATAGGTTTTTGGGTAAAATGGAGAAACTCAATAAGAGAATACAACCAACTTCCGAGGACAAATCAAATCCATTCCCCTTGAGAAATCAAATTCCTTCAGTAACTAACTGGTCTATTTCTACATTACGCTACACGGCTAAGAAAGTTAAATAAAATATAGAGATACAACCACAAACCAAGCAACAAATCGCGGAGTCCTTTGAAAAATTGAATTAATCAACATGTACAGACTGCTCCCGTTATTCTCAATGTTTGATGCAGAATAAAAAACAAACCGAATAATATCCCATCCCCTCATGAACCACTAAATAGGAAATCAAATTCGATTTGTCTCCTCAAAAGACGCGTTTTTTCTTCAAATGAACTTAGTCTCATGTTTTATCTATTCCTAAACTAAACACCAAAAGATCACATCTTTCCTTTCTCCCTAAACACGATATAATTGAATCAAAGAAGAACTTCAAAAGAAATCCAAAGTGAAACCCCGACATAAAAACAGATAAAAGGAAAAAGGAAAACAAGCCGACATTTTTATTCACAAAACGAGCATTCAAAATCCTATGTTACTAATCCTCGACTCCAACGTTAACAAATGATCGATCCCCAAACTAAACACTCCACAACATCACATCTTTCCTTTCTCTTTCTTTCTCCTAAACACAAGATCGATCATCGAGTCGACATAGAAATAGAAAAATCGACGCGAAGAAGAAGAAGAAGAAGAAGAAGAAGAAGAAGGGAAACACACCACCCCCGCGTCCCCAGCGATCTCTCGAGTTCCCAGACGAACAGCGCTAGCAGCAAACAGTAGAGAATAAAACCACCGCCGTGGATTAAAGCCAACACGGGCAAACGGCGATTGCCAAAGATAAGCCGTCTATTACGAGAATGTGGGATCTTATCCAACTCAAGCAACAGATTCCCAACATAGTCTACTTCTTATCGCCGTCCATCAGAAGACCTGGACCAAGGCCCATAAAGATTTGTATCCATCGTAACCGTCAAAATGTGAATGGACAGATCACATAACCGTCAAAATATTCGCAAGCCTCACTAAAAGATGCTTAATATCTTGCTAGAGAATATTTATATTTTGAGTATCTTTCTTTTCTTTCTAAATAATATTTTTAATTTTAAAATATTTTGATCACCACAATAAAAAATATTATAAATGAGTCAAATAAAATTAAAATATATTAAAAATCATTTGATATATCATATTATCATTCAAATATATATATCGATAATAATTTTTAAAAAAATTAAAAATTATCTAAATAAAAATAAAAGTTTGAATTGTTATAGTGCCTTGATGATCACAATAAAAAACCTACTCAAAAATATTAAAAATTATCTTGATAGACTTTTAATCTTCACCAAACTAATTATAAGCTTAAAAATATGATATCATAATGGTATACGAGTAATGATAAAAAAAAATATATAATATGATATTATTTTTATAATTTTTTTAATAATATTTAATATTAAAAATACTGTAAATGAATCAAATGAAAACACTATAACACATTAAAACTAGTCAAAAAAAAAAAAAAGAGTGAAAATTTTGAGGAGAAGAGTTGGTGAAGGATATTTTAGATATTGATTTGGAGATATATATTATATTTCTTTCAGAAAATTCTTTAATTATTTTGGACTAAGTAGGAATTAATCAGTTGATGGTTAGTGCATTGTTAATAGGTCTCATGTTTGTTTGATTATTATTATTTATGAACAAAATATTAGGTTTGGATCGAGTAGGAATAGGTAAATAGATACACGATTTGGATTTAAGATGGTCTTAATGCCTAAAAACATTAGTTAGCTTTAAATTTAGGTAGGATTATCCTACCTAATACAATTCCTACACACAAATCAAAGGAAATATGACTCCTCTAATTTTTTTATTATATGAAATTGATGTAATTACCGTAAATTGGTATATAAAGTAATCCAAATATAATATATTAACTTAAATTATTTTTCGGATTTACGTATAAACCATGTCATATTCGAGTCGTATGAGTTTACCAAATCGTATATCTATAAATTATTTGTCTCATGTTTATGCGACATTAATATCAATTCTCTACCAATTCCTCTTACTCATTTTCGTCGATAAAAGGCTCTAAGCTAACAAATAAGAATCTATACGGCTCGGCTCCAACATAATTATTTTGATATAGTGTGCATTTATCGTTGTTGCCTTTGTGAATATGAACATACTAGCTAAATAATTCCAAGATAGATATTATATAATTGTTTGATTTTTTGCTATTTTTTCTATCATCATAATTCTACTCGAAATTATTCACATAAAATAAGTATCCTCACTGATTTGTAAATAAAAATAATTAAATAGAGAGATTTATATTCAATCACATTGTTTTTTTTTTGCATAAATTTATAATATTTTTTTTAAAATAGTATAACTGAGAAATTCAATTAGTTCAAGTTATAATTTAGGTACTGTTTTTTAGTTGTATTATCATGAAAAGGTTTCACAGATTATTATAACAACAAATAAGAACATTCTTGGAAAAATATTAAAAGGAATGTTAATCAAGAGCTAAAATAGAAATCATTTTCAAGAATTCACCCTATATTATTATACCTTCTCGAAATAAAAAGAAAAAGAAAATATCCCACTTTTTCGTTCAGGTTATTTTTGCCAATCCATGTGTTTCTTTCTTATCCATCCCAAAGAAAAGGGACAATAAATATTAATATAATATATGAAAGCAAACTCCCTCGCCTCACTCTTTGCTTCTTCCTGTGGCTAGAGAACGGCCAAAGGAACTGTAATGGCGACCGCCGCATTCGCCCTCTCCTCCCTCCGCTTCCGTCCTCTCTCCGCCGCCGGGGCTCGCCCTAAGGCCGGAAGCCCTAAAAGGCCATCTCGTCCCAAGCCTAACCTCAAGTCCCGGAAGGTCTCCGGCGGCCCGCCGTCCTACCGCTCCTCGAGCGGCGGCGGTGGGGAGGCCACGACCTACACTCGCCTCCCTCCCAAGGGCGACTTCTCCCTCGATCCATCCGTCGTTCCGTTCTCCTCAGCGACCTCCGGTGAAATTAGGTTGCGTGAGTCGCCGGTTCCGGCTTTAAATTCTTCTAAGGAAAAGCATTCGGACCGTCATCGAAGTAGAGGCTACGATAAGAAGGCTAAAGGTTCGTTCTCCGTGGAAGTGATCGAAGATGAAGATGAGTTGTTGACGTTTGAACCCGATGGCAAGTTCTCCCTCGATCCATCCCTCGGATTCCACGCACGAGGCTCGGGCGAGTTTAGGGTCCAACAGGTAACAAATCCTGCGTCGAATTTGATGAATAAGAAGCTTTTGAACAGTTCGATATTTGTGCAGGACATCGAGGGAAGCGACGACGAATTTTTGGAGTTCGAATCGGATGAAGATGAGGTTATTGTGGGGTATGGATCCACGCATCCAGAGGTTGAGGCCTCGGATTTGGATTTAGAGTCTGAATCCGATGGGGAGTTGGAGGGTTATCTTGATGGGGACAATGAGTTTGGGAATGGGGAAGTGAAGGAGAAGGGGGTTCCTGCGATTATGAGATGCTTTGATAGCGCGAAGATATATGTGAAGGCCGGGAATGGAGGGAATGGAGTTGTGGCATTTAGACGTGAGAAATTTGTGCCTTTTGGCGGTCCATCAGGAGGAGATGGAGGGAAGGGAGGAGATGTGTATGTGGAGGTCGATGGGGCAATGAATTCTTTACTCCCATTCCGTAAAAATGTGCACTTCAGGGCTGGGAGAGGTGGGCACGGTCAGGGAAGGAAGCAGGCTGGGGCGAAGGGAGAGGATGTGGTTGTGAAGGTGGCACCTGGAACTGTGATCAGAGAGGCCTTCAAAGGAGGTATGCTGGGTGAGGTGTTGCTGGAGTTAATGCACCCTGGACAGCGGGCACTGCTCTTACCTGGTGGGCGGGGTGGGAGAGGAAATGCATCTTTCAAATCAGGGACTAATAAGGTACCAAAGATTGCAGAAAATGGAGAAGAGGGCGCCGAAATGTGAGTATTAAAATTTTCTTTTTTTGTTTTCTTCTCATTTTATGTATTAAATATGTGTTTATTCTTGAATTTGCAAGAGAGCATATACATATTTAAGAAATGACTTCATATTGAAATGAGAAACATTTCCAACGACTGACTTTTAATTTAGTCGACATACTTCTTACAATATAGACTGCAATGAAGTTGAAGTTTGTTAGAGCCTCCGGATTCTTAGTGGAGAGGGAATAAGTTCATGTCATCCAATTTATCTAATTGACCTACTCTTGAGAGAGTCAAATTAGCTAGGCATATATATTGTACTGCTCCTTATTTATCTTATTGGTGTTTCTTTTGTTTTGAGACAGAGTAGCATCTAGGGATTTTTGTTATGGTGGGAATGGCTGAAAGGTTCTCGAACTTCCTAAACAATTAGATAGCCACCCTACATGGGATTAGCGAACATGTGTCATCTTGACAGCTGATGATTTTGAATGTCTAAAAAAATTTGATGATCATCATTATGTGTACGATCGGTGCAGGAAACATATCTCATCTTGATGACTGATGATCTTGAAGCTATGTGAGTATAAAAAGGGCAATGGTGCACTAAGGATAACATGCATGGTTCTCCTACAATGTTGCCATTATAAAATCAAAACACAATAGTTGATGATTTGAATTTTTTTAAGAAAATTAATCAGTTAACCAGTAGGTTGAGGGAATTGGAAATGAAATTAGTTCACAGAAGAAATGTTGTTATGTATTTTAAAGAGAAGATGTTGTAATCATCATCACTGAACACAAAGATTGTCATATAAAAATCCTGGATTGATGTGATTGTCAATTAAAAGAACCTCTAGCATGTTGCTGGATGAGTTATTCGAAGAAGAAGCACTCTGTTGTATCTAAAATCACTAGTTGGTGATATTTGATTTTACTTAGAGAGCTGCAAGCTGTGAGGGTCAGTTACCTTAGCAGAAATGTTAATGTAATTACCCACAATCTGGCAAATTTTGGTAGGGAATCTATGGTATCTCAATCTTGGGGAGATTATTTTGATAGTTTTTGGCCTCTGTAACTGATGGGCACCATTATTTAGTAATGGAATAGAGTTTTCTTCTTTTTTTTCAAAAAAAAGAAGAGACCTTATTTCCACAAGGACATGAGTGCTTTATATCTTACATCAATTAAATAATTTGGGAAACCAAGATTGTAATTTATATGAAGCCTGAGATAAATTATGATACATGTATTATGTAGAAATTGTCATGTTCTGGAATAAACAAGTTTGCTGATGGATTAGGCTATTCAATGCCATCTCTGTAGATTTATTTTTGTTATCAAGTTTTTGTAGCTTAACGAGAAGTCTAAAAAGAGATCTTTGATGAAGCAACTGGGTCTGATGTATTTCTTACTATAATTGTGTTACTGTTCGTATCTAGAAAGTGAACATAAAAGTTCTGTTCTTACATGAAGCTTGTGATTAGATAAACTCTTCAGAATTATGTGATGGTTGAAACTTTCTCTTGATTTCTATATCAGCACCATATGGCAAAATTCATGAACTGGCTAAAAGAACTGATATGTAGGCTCTGCATAAGATAATGATCATATTTGGAGAAAGAATATTTTATATAAAAATTGTCAGTATGAAATGGATTTTTCCTCCAAAGTAGGTTAAACCTATATATTTTTAAGACCCAGTTCCAGCAAGCAGGGCTCTGCCTAATTATGTATGCTTTTTTGATCTGTTCAAATATCCTTGGATTCATTGTCAGAATTATGTAGGTCAATAAGTTTTGTTACCCAACTAGAATGTTCCTCAGGTGGTTGGATCTGGAGCTGAAGCTT